TTTTTTTCAAATGATTGAAATTTTGTATCATAAAAGTTAAAACACATAGATATATCTAGAAAACAGCTCAAAAGCCAAAAAAACACTCAAAAGCTCAATCTAGTGGGAGGACATATCCAAGCGGCGGGAGAGACCCCTAACAGCCACTGTATGCTCAAGTAAGTCATAAAATCACCAAATATATCATGCAATTTGTAGAAATTGCGAAATTGTGTTAGAGAGTGAACCTTAATCCCTTATTTATAAGATATTAATAACTTGCCACCAAAAAATCGTGATAATATTCTCGAAAAGTATTGGAGTATCACTTGTGAGTTGTCCCACATTGATTCTATAGAGAAAATTAGCCTAGTATATAAGCCAAGTGAGCTACTCCTTCCATCACCAATTGGTTTTGGGATGGAACCTCACTATGGTGCACCTAGACTCACCCTCTTATGGTGCGCTTAATATGCGTGGGACCGCACTCTCTTGCCCCGATTATGGTGCGCTTATGGTGCGCTTAAATATCGAGCCCTTGTAGTATTTTAATTTCGGGCCCAATATTTAATTTCGGCCCAAGTCGAAATTATTACTACAAGGCGTCATATTTTATTTATAGACCGAATATTTAATTTCCTAGTCGCTATCCGAATTAATCGAGCCCGAGCGTTAGGATTTTTTTACTAGCCCGGTTATGTAGCGATTTTATGGCCCAATTCCTAAGCTTAATGTTAAAGCCCAACAAACCCTAAGCTCATATGTACCTCTATAAATAGGTTGTCTCCCATCTTCCAACACATCAAATCCTAGCCTCCCACTACACCACTATTCATCTTCTTCATCCTCTAGCCATTTTTTTTCAAGATCCATAGCAAATATTATCACATTTTACCTTCATTTTGCAAGATCTTGGGTTAAAAATCACACCATGTCTTAGCTTTAGTCAGAATCTATCCTTTTAATCTAAAGATCTACATACATACACCAAGGAAAAGAAGCCTTCTTCACCATCCTCCATGGTTTGAGCTTATTCCGGCGAACACCTCCAAATTCCAGCGACCGGCGCCTGCTCCAAGCTCACGCCGGTGAGCTCGTCACCCACAGCTACCAAGCACCTCGTGTTCAGCCCGATTCGCAGCCCTCAGCTCCTCACCGCGTGGTCCCAGCCCGAACTCCACGCGCGCAGCTCCTCAGGTCGTCCTGCAGCTCTGGCGTTTCACCATTTCCGGCGAGTTCCCGACCTCAGGCCCGCAGCTCCCATGCCGTTCTATCCACTCTCCACTTGGCCGACCACTGTAGCTTGAAGAGAGTCGAGCCTCCGCCTGCTACACAGTATACTTCAGATATTTCAGCATCTGCATTCGCCGTTTTCCAGGTGGGGACCATGTACTGTGTATTTCATCGCTTTTAATAATTTACCATGTCTGAGGTCTATATGTGATTAAATTGAAGGACCGAGACGGATGAGTGATCTCGTCTTGGTCAAGATGTCAGATGTCAGTTATGACTTAGATGAGTGGGCGAGGCCCAGCCTAAGTCCAACGTCCAGATGAGTGGGCGATGCCCCGCCTGGATTTCTGTAGGAGGGGACCCCCAGAGTGTGCACATGAGTACCAATTTACCGTTAGTCCCATAGTCAAACCAGTTTATTCATATATATGTTGATTTCACATAGTTCGTTATTAATTGTGCTGAGAATTCAGTGCCGATTCCGGCGGAGCACCGTTGATTCTTTTGTGCTCACGCCTCCCCACTACCCTATTTTTCAGGTGATGAAGTCCCGCGTGACGCGTGAGCTGATATGTGGTGTTGGTCCAGCTTCAGGACATTTTTGTGAAAACATGTCATATAGTATTTGAACATGTTTGAATTGCTTATGTTTGTTTTATGCTTGTGTGCTTTTTTGAACTTGTACTTGCTTCCGCATGTTAGACTTGTGTTTCAGATGTCAGATTTCAGACTATTATTTCAGATGTCAGATTATATCAGATTTTCAGAATATGCATGTTTTATCCGGTATTATTCATGGCCTTAATTCCAGAATGAATTTACTTGGTTGATGCATGTTAGATTAAAGAGATAAAGATATAAAATTAAAGTTGAGTAGCACCCCGCGTTTTAAAGTTAAAGTATTTTCGAAAATTAAATCAGTGCTTTCAATTTACAGCGCGAAAAATTTACTCTGATTTTAGTAAGTCTAAACGGGGTGAGTTTGGGGAGATTTCTCTCAAGCGGTATCCATACTCGTCGGTATAGAAGTAGTATTGCTCGTTCCTTCGCCGACCACTAGGTCCTCTTACGTGAATTGCAAAGGTTCGTATATGCATGGGCTTTGTTGGACATCTGAGTACGGGGTGCTCTTGGGTCAGTATGGAGCAGTACGAGACACCCTCATACTCTGCTGGAAAAAACTTCTTCATCCTTCTTCGTGCAATCAGAAATAGTCTGAAAAATGCTGAAAATAGATAATAAAATATCGAAGTACACGAATTCATCCAAATAATAAATAAGTCGAAAAATATTGATGTGCAAATAAATTAAGTTATAAGAATACACTATTGAATATATAAATCGCGCACATTTTCCTAACAATCAGATATACTTCTTTAGAATCTAAGAAATGTTGAAATAAAATTAGATATCATCCATATAGGATGTGGTTCAAATAAGAACCAAGTCATAGCGTGAGAACCGCGAGAACCACTATGTTTAACTGTATGAAGTGCTATGATAGATTGTATTTTAGTGCTATTATTAATCGAGATCTATGTTATTAAAAATAGCACCACAATTTACATTAGCATTTTGCGAAAATGATAGCACCATTGATATTAAAAATAGCATCCTACACAAAAAATTAACATCAAATGTGATTCTCACGGTTCTCACACCATGACTAGTTTTTATTTGAACCAGCCCCATTCATATATATACCGAAATATTCTATAAAAATCGTAGCCAAATTCTCAAGCTAATTTAATTAATATACAACTGAACCCGGGCCAAAACACGGCCGAACTGGTCATATAATGGGGTGAGCCACAAATCATGGAAAAAAAAAAATTGCTTTTAACCTGATAGCCAGAGAATAGATACAAGGACAGCCAAAAAAACACCAAGTTTAGAGCTTCTAATGATTGTAGGCTGCCCGTTGGGTGGGCGAACTGGACCAGGTGCAACCGAGCCACTAAGATTTCCAACAGTGGGAGGCCTCTGCACGACAGGAGGCAGAGGAGGCTCGACGACATCGTTTGCTGTCAGAATAGGGTTCGGAGGCTGAGCGGGAGGCAAGAATGTGGTTGCCATAATGGGAATAAGACCCCCTGGCTGAACAGGAGACATGTATGGTGGTGGACTTTCATATCCTAGACAACGGTTCCCTGTAAATGAATATAAAACAATAATGTACATCAGTGATTGGTCTCTTTTAAAACTGTTTGGAGCTGAGTCTTTTGTGGGGACTATTTGGGCTAAGGTATAAATTATGGTAGGGGAAAAAAAGATAGAAAATAAAAACATTAGTTAGTTTTGAAGTCATCTTTAAATCATTTGAAGTAGGTAAACATACTTCATTATGCACATCTGGATGTTAGCAAGGATGCGAATGACACTACCCTCCCCAGTTATATGAGGGGTCAAAGATACCGAATATTTTGCAAAGCAAAAATTTCCTTCTGTTTCAAAATTTACTATGCAAAAAGCAGTTAAGTCACTTAAGATCTGTAAGTTAAAAGTAGCCATCTCATCTTCGTGCATCAGTAGACACTCTTCACATAATGAGGTTTGTTGTCCTTCTTTTTTCTTGGGTGCGTTATGACTGAATAAAACATGTTAAATGGATACAGACCAAATGCACGTACCCAAAAAAAACGTGGAGAATTATATCAATATACATTAGCATAGATAATATCTCTAAGCCTCTTCTGCTTAAAACAAAAGCAAAGAGCATCAAAATCTATGTTGTAAAATGTATTATAACATGCATCTTCACATGATTATAACAATGATGATATGATATTAACTCTTAAGTTTTATATTTATTGACCTTTACCAGTTAGTTCAAATATATAATAAGATTCACTTATGCACAACTTTGGTTTTCTGTATTCAGCCGGTGGTATAAGTTTGAGTAAGACTCATTTAATAAAAAAAAACAAGGTTCATAACAAACTATTAAGTACAAAGTAAGAGTGTGAAAACATTGTGTGACTCTTTCTCATATGGCTAAACCAACTATGCGGGATGCCAGTTTTGCTATCAGGCACAGGCATAAAAATTTAAGAACTTTTTCCAGAAGGAAATTTGGTTGTAATGATTCTGTGCAAAGAAAAACGGAATGCATGATGTAGAGCTAAAATAGAAGAGAAAAAAAAATATAAGCATTATTCAATCGGGAACTTACTTCTGAACTTAGAAGCTGTTCCAGGGTAGTCCGTAATGACACCATTAATTCCCATATAAAAGACATGGGTGTTAATCTCCACATATGGGTCTGAGAAGAAGTCCCAAGGTTGAGATACAAACTCATTCCGAAAATATTGAACGTAGACTGGGAGCTTGAAGGCCTGCAGCTTAGGAACAATTGTTGTTTCACCAGTGAGAAAGAGGTGATCGGAAGGAAAGACAGATTTTTTAGAGATGACCACAGAGTTTGCGATTCTTTTTATCTCCAAGATAGTTGAGTTCAAGATGTCACGGACATCCTCATCAACTAGGTAAACGAGCTCATATTTGCCGCTATACTTAAACTTCGAGAGCACCGCACTATCACTTGATTTAATCATGACCTTCTTGGCTGTCTGATTATTATAACCAGCCTTCGCCAAAGCATCCAAAACCGCTCTCGTTACATCTAATCCCTGTTTTTCAGCTAGATAGGCAGCATTCTGCAAGGTAGAAAACAATCATTCAACAAGTTCATTTCATAGTATACTTGGTTGCCGGCCAATGTGAGTAAGTACGTCACATTTATTTAAATTCCTAGAGTGCCATTAACACAGACCAGGCACAGAAAAAGGACAAAATTCTAATGCAGGAAATGCTATGTGGGTCACTGTTTGGCTTCCTGTGCATAATGGACTCGATTTATAATCTGGGGGTATTATGCAAGATTCCACTTTTACAACAAAATCTCAGCACTTCTGTTATGATTGCCCAATACCCATCCACTAAGTATTGGCTAGGAATGATAATACCGAGGCCTTACTCTATTGTCTTCAGGCTAGAAATGCTTAATCTGGAAATTAAAAAATTCAGCCTGCTGTCAGTGCATCCATTCATATGTTTCATATTTTTCGTATGCATAAGATAAGTTGTGATGCATTATACAATTCATGAGTTGAAATTCCTGAAGTAATATATTACTAGATCATGCACCCAAGTCACTGAAAATTATACTTTTCAATACGAATTATGGTGTAAGTTAATCAGCTCTTGCAAGTTGGTAAGCAAAGGTTAGCTTAGCGGGAGCTTATTGCACAGCTAAGATGTGTGAGACCTGCAAAAAGCATCTGAAACAGTGGTACGAATAAGGATCAAATGAAACGTCAAGTAGACTCACCTCTATACTTATCAACACTCCAGAGACAGAAGATTCGTTTTCTGAGAATTCCAAAAAATCAGATAGTTGCATTAGCTTTCCGTCATATCTGGCTCTTGGATTTCGATAGAGTCTAAACTTCGAAAATGGATTAGAAATAGCAGCTGCAGTCAAAGAGAATAACACATCAGTGCAGATTTTAACTTTTACTTCAAGAACACATTGAAATTGAAATTCTTGCTATCAAATGAAACACCATCAGTTTATGAAAAAAATATAGACTACGCTGATACAAGAAAAGTAAATCAAAATGGAGGTTTTGTCCGATTACTCTCAGAACTTTTACAGTGTTTTGGTCGAATGAGATGGTACGGTGCAGGTCAAAACACAGTTGTTAATTGTACCACCGACACTGTTGGAGTAAAGTTTTTGCATAGATATTGATTAGACAAATTAGTTTTTAAGTCCATTTGAATTTTATCCACCCAATCCTAAATTGCAGACCTTTGTCCACCTCTATGCACTCAATGCCTGCTGAAGATCTTGTGATAACAGGATGCACGGAAATTTCGGCAGAAAGTAAATTAACATGTCTAAGCTCAAAATGAGATATGTGCCCCCAAGCTAAATGACATGTTTACCACTTACAGCCAACTTCTATGTATGTAACCCCCCACATTTCCGTATTGTTATTATTAAAGCATGTGGAAAAAATAAAAATAAAAAGAGTCATAACTAACGGCTAAGATTCCAAGCCCGACTTACGTTTTAGCATCTGAATTTGGCTCCAAGAGAGATTGTATGTGAAAATTCCGTCCGTTATGTTTAGGTCAGAATTGGTTGTTGCCATGTTACTGAAATTTGATTCAGCGGCATTTGTTTTATCCCTGAGGTTAATTGACCCCAAGCAAAATGGTACCCCGTCATTTGTCATTTGAACAGGGCAGTCAAGTATATCAACACCATCAGATACAGCTTTAGCGTAAGCTTTGTCAGTGCAACCAGGATAATCTCCACTAGCTCCCTCAGAAGATATAATCAAAAGTTCCGCTGATGGACATAAATTGTCACTAATGATTTCTTAACACCATTAGGACGGAAAAAATAGCAAACAATACACGCAAGTGTGCTAATATTAGTATGTACCTTGCACTGTCTTATTTTTGCCCATGTGAGAGAAGCAATCTGCAGTATGTTAAAAAAACTTTACTAGTAAGGGAAACAAGTCTTCTTTCACTAGCAATACAGAACTGAAATATCTTTTGAAAACGCAACATGACACTGTGAATTATTGAATGCAAATTAAAATGATACTCTGCTGAACAGTATGAATTCAGCCAGAAAATATGGGCCGTCAGAGAATTGACACAGATTATTGTGGAAGACATTCAGTAGTTAGAAAATAACACAATAAGATGGAGACCAGATTCTTACTGCAAGTGTAAAAGATAATACCAAGAGATACAGATTTTTTCATATCTTTACTCCCCTACCTATATGAAATAACAAGAGGTAGAAACTAGAAACTAAGGATAAAAGCTCTAACATATCAAACAATGAAATGAGAGAAGAAACAAAAAAAAAGGAGTTGGCTTGCAAGTTGCACTAAAGAGCTAGGCTAATGTAAACATGTAAGCTCTAGCTGAATTAAGAAGGCCCCCGCATGTAATTTGAGTAACCAACTTGGCATCTCACAAGGTAATTTTCC